CCTGAAGAATTTCCTGCCATATCATAGTTTCCACTCCTTCAGAGATACAGATGTCCAGTTTTAACCAGCTGATTTTGCCAAAGCAGTGAAATTAAAGGTTGAGCAGGGATATAGACTCACACACGTAACAAATTAATGCCTTTTATTACTGAAGAGTGAATGGAGACATTTGCTGTGGCAGACAGGTTATTTGGTAACTGATTGTTGCAGATCTTTCCTTGCCACTGCTCTATTAGTCTCAGCTTACAGGGAAGCTTCAGCAGTGTTTTCAGGAGAGGCAGGGAATGCTGAGAGGCTACAGCAAGTCACAGCAGAGGCAGAGCCCTGAATGCTGAATGACGTTTCAGCTACCAAATCCTCCAAAACTGTCAGGATAAATAAGACTCTCTAACACTATCTTTTTACTGTAAGTGAGTAAGGCATTACTTTATTCTTAGCCTGGAGGTGTGTGTGTGGCCAACAAAATTCTGGCCTCTACACAAAAGCAGATACAAAACTCATTCACTTATTTATACAATTTTAGCAAACAAAGAAATTAATGTTCATTGGTTCTAAATGACATAATTGTCTTTAATTAATCAGTATTATGTTTTCTTTTTTTTATGGATTTCTCACATCTCATGCTAATTAATTTATATTTTTCAGTCTTTTTAATATCTTTTTCCCAGGTAAGGACTTTTCAATACACATATACTGAGTCTTTATTAGCTTCTTCTCTATCTTCTGGTTTCTGCAAAATGTCCTTGTAGTCCATAAATTCTGTGCTTCTTGTATCCAATTTCAACAACACATCACTCTGTCCCAGGCCTTGTTCATTGAAGCACATCAAGGTTAGCTTAACAAAACTTGGAAGTTTCATTAATTTTCTCAAGCCCTATTCCCACACTAGCTGCTTATGACAACTTTGCTAAAAGCTGGTTGAGAGTAATTTAAGAATAACACACTGTTTGTAATTAATTTATATAGATTGGTTACAATGAAACAATTAATTTAGAAGTTAATTAAAAGCATTACCTGAAATTACTAAGAGGTTGTATTGTTTCCAACACTTCCAGAATAATTTCACATAACTTCTGTGCTATTTCATAGTGCCAGCTTGGGACATCAGTGCCTGTGCTTCTGTTCCTTAGTTACTTACACTGTCTGCTGATTTATCAAATAATAATAGTTTCTACCAGTTTTCCTAAATTATGCATGGCACAGGATGTAAACCTTTTCCAAATTATTTGTCACTCACACCCCTCAGCGTGGATTCCTTTTGATGTCAAGGAAAAGAACCAATTCCTTATGAAATTACTGCCAAAATCGTACCATTAGCTGGAATTAAGCTGGTTAGCCTCCTGCAATGAGCTGCCTTCTGTGCTACATGATCATCTAATTTGTGAAGCCTTATTTAAAAATGCACACAGTGTGCCAGGTGGAAGAAAGCCGCACGGAGCTCGACGCTTACGTGAACACAGGGATCATACTTATATTGTTCTGTGTCCACGTTTCTGACATTTTCCTTTAGAAAACTGGTAGCCACAGAGCCCTCCCTTGGTGTGCATGAAGAAGCATTTTGGGAAGCGTGGCCTTGTATTCTCTTTCAGCTTCTAAACTGACTCTGTAGTAGCTGAGGTCCATTATGCAAACCCATCTATGTAACAGGGAGCTTTTTCCACTGCTCACTCTGCAGGATCTCAAAGCATTTCCAAAACAATGTACATGTGTCATTTTCTGAGCACTGTATGGGGCTTATTACTGCTCAGTAAATATTTCACCCATTCAATAAAACCTACATTCAGAGCCTACACAGGGTGGGTGTCTGTAAGAGTTCAAGAGTTGAAGAGAGGCGGCAATACCAGAGAATATAAAATCTACTGAAATAAAATTTGAACCAATAAGACTGTTAACAGCCAAAAAATTCCCCAGGAACAGGGTGTGTGATGAAATCCTATGATAAAAAAGCAGCTCACCTGCATTCACTGAAGGTTTGAACTTTAAAACAAAACACTCCAATGCAATTAACCTCCCCAAGACACCAATGAAAGAACATGCCAACAGAGAAATAAAACTTTGCAATAAATTCTGATGAAAATCCAGTGTCCAATACTATTTAAAAAGAAACTGTAGCATTGGTATTTGATACATCCCATTGCTATCCTGTGAGAGCCACCTTCTATCTGGCGATCTCAGATTTCTTTTGCACCTGTTGGCTCGCTGCCTTTGAGAGATTTGTTATCTCACCATACTGCAGATGACAGCAGAAAAGGTAATGATGAATAAAGTCATAAAGTGATCAAAGTTCACACAAAAAATCAACAGCAGAGCTGATAGGAGAAACATCTTCATTCCAGTTCATCTACTGTAACCATATTTGTCTACATTTGCAAGGTATATCTAACAGTGGATTTATCCTGCCAGGTTATTGTATACAAAATGTGTCAGGATTTGTGCAGCTGCCCTGCTGAAGGTCTGGGTTAATGTAGCACAGCTACATTATAGCTATGCACTCCAGCGTGCCAGTTCCACACCTGTCCATCAGAGTGATGGAATAGAGTTTTACCATTTACTTGGCACAAAATTTCAAAAGTAGACAAAAAACTAGTTTAAAATCTGGACAGAATAAGTTGGAGGAAAGTGGATTGGAAAAAAAAAATTAAAATAAAAAAAGGATTTAGACAGGAAATCTGGATCAGTTTTACAGTGCTGGTGAAGCTCATAGGTACTTCAGCCCAAGGGAGCAGTTGGTCTTACTGAAAGCCAGATTGCATGAATTGCATGATTATCCAGCAAAACTAGCAAAAGCCACTTCACATGTTTAGCTTTCAGCCACTTCATGTATTTCTCTTTCCTACTGGAAAGAGACTACCCACATTCAGAGTAACAGAATAGCATGAAAGTTTCTCTCCACTAGGGAACAATAATAATTTCTGGCAATAGCAGCTATTTTGTTCATGCCAGTGGATATTTTGAAACATTTCAAACTCTTACAGTGGAGCTTTAAAATGTTCTTTTACACGTGCATGTTCTGATTCAGAATATTTAGAAACTTGTTAACAAGAGCAGCTCTACTATTTTAAGAGGTGAAATGGTCAAAGGTTTTGTACATATTTTTACAGCTGTATTGATGATGAGAGTGAGGTATGGCTGACTGCCACACACTCAACTCAGAGAAGACACTGGCAGATGAGACATGACCTGCATCATTTGTTTGGGTGGGAAAAGAAGCTGCTTTGCTCACCCTGGACATGTAAAATATAATGTCAGTCAGATGGCACACACATTTCTTTCCATGAGCCACCATCTAGGACTCTGCCTTCAGAAAGTACTCCTAAGTTGCTTATGCATCCAAATAATTTTTGGGTTTTGACTGACTGACGTATTTGCAGTAATTGGAAACACATGTACAGGTACTTCGTAATAATACCATTTATTATTTAATTCTCTAATTTCATTATTTTAGCGATGTAAAGTTTTGTGTTACTCAAGTGTGAAAGAGAAAATAATAAAAAATAAGCTTATAATAGTTACTACAGGTCTGAAGGCTTTCTGGATTGTGACTATCCTTTATGGCATTGCTATAGAGGAATGACTGAACTCTGCTATATAAATCTTTCTGCTCCAAGATCTGTGCTGCCATTAATGTGTTTTTGACTCCTCAGTGTTTAAGCTGTATCTACATATGTCAGTTTTTACCAATTCTCTATCATGGCACTCCTACTTCTGCTATCGAATACAAACTTGGCTGTAGGATCAAGAAGAAATAGAAACATCAAAAGGAAGTAATAATTTGTATTAAAATATGTTTGTAAAAGATTATGTATACTTTTCACCCTTGATGTCTCCAATGACAGAGGAGCTAAGCTTTCTTCAGCTCTTCCCTGGAGGCAACTCTTTGAGTTCAGACAAATAGCAAGTGGTATTTGAACACAATATAAATGTAGACCATGTTGGCTTTATAAGATTGGTTCACTGCACATAGAGGGTGGAGTAAAATGCTGCAACTTATCAGTTGTTCTGTGGCCACCCTGCAAAGATAAATTCAGTTAGGCTGAATTAGGAAAGAATTTTGGTTTACCTTTGCTAAGATAAGACTAGATAGATTATATATGTGTTCCTAGCTCAGTCTATCTACCATCTGCAGCATACAGGGGAAGGGAAAAGCACAAAAAGAGTCTCATCCATTTTGAGTCCTTACGAGATAGGAATCCTTACTTACATACTGCAGACTTTTGGACATTACTCCCTAATTAGTAACCACTTCTCTCTTGATTCCCTGTGCAAATTGAAGTTTTGTGCTATCAGTTTAGATAAAATAGATTTTAACCTCACACATGCACCATATTCTTATCCAAATTTTACCTCAGAACCGGAAAAAGCTTGCAAACAGTAGATAGATAGCTTATGATTAGTGCAAATAAACACTACTACAGTAGCCAAACACTTAGAAAGCAAAAGTCCAGCCCCCTTTCAGCCCTCTTTCAGCACTGGCCAGATCAGTAAGTGCCTTGGGTAGTAACCAGGTCCTAACCTGGGCCTTGCTCTGCAGCTTTTTGTGTTGCTAAAAGGCGTTGCAACAGTTCAGCTAAATCTTGCACAGCTGAGGAGACAAGGCTGCCTTAGGCAATGCTTAAATACTTAATTTAAGGACTATCAGACTTTACAAAAAGTGAACCTGTATATTACTGGAATTGAACCCCCTCTGGCTGATTGTTAGAGATGCTCTGAAGTAATCACTTGAACATTAATTCAAGAAAGATGAAAGGTTAGCAAGGAAAACAGTTTCAATTCCTCATATCATGCAATATAACATTTTTCAAAATTACTGGAGAAGTCTTAATTATTTGGCTTTTCTAACTATATTGTTAGAAAAAAAATATCCTTCTTTAAGGTTAGAAGGAAATTGATTATCAAAATAATCCAGAAAAAATTCTGAAATGAGATAGCCAGTTCTAAAGCCAGGTAACAGTGCAGTGCCTCTGAGCATTACTGACAGAAGGTTTGTTTCTCTCCTCTAGCTGACAGCTTTCTGATTACAGTGGGACACTAAGGGAGCTGCCACCAAGTGGGAATGCTGGATGTTAGAAGCAAAACCTTAAACAACCTTGGCATTTGGTGGAGAAACAACACAGATGGGCATACCAGAGTAGCTTGCTCACAACAGCCCTTCATTCCCTACAGCCTTTCATTCCCAGCAAAGAACCTGGTATGTTTTTAACCATCTGGAGGTCGTTGTTTTTTTATTGTGGGGGGTTTCTTGGGGGGGAGGGGGCAGGTGTTTTTTTTTTTTATTTTGGTTTGTTTTGTTGGGTTTTTTTTCCCCAGGGATAATGCAGTTTAGTTAGTTAGAAATAAAGTCTTGAGTATATCTATCACTGTAGCAAGACCCACTTCCACAGCTGCAAGGGGATGTTTTGCTTCTATTGTAGAAGGGATGGAAGTGAACCAGTGGGGACTGGTGTGGGGACTCTCCAGAGACCGTGAGGAGTTTATTTTATTTGATGAGATATAAAGCCATGCTTGTATCATGTATACTTAATTGTTAGCCACAATCTTTGCTTGTGTCAATGCTGCTAGAAACAGGAATGCAATTCAAGTGAAGGCCTACGAAACTTTTAAATTTCCAGGTGGGATACAGTATCTGGTTTATCTGGTACTTGCTAGGAGGTAGATCCTTTTTCTTAATCTACTCTTAATGGAAGGAAAAACTGGTCGTTCAAGTTACACATGGGACATGTGATGTGAGAATGGGCTGATAAGTAAATTGCACCGATAAATTGATTTTGCTTGCTTATTAGCTGTTTTTCCATTTGCACCAAATACTGATAGTTGCAATAACAATGGAATGCCCTTGAGAAATCTAAGAACTATTTTAATTGCAGCTACTGATATAATAATAAATTCACATAAATTACTCAAAAGGAAAACAAAATAATTGAGTCTAATGAAAGCTTAATTGAATAAAATGTGTTGGTGTTGCCTGGTTTTAGTTTACAGAAGTATCTATGTCCAAAATGCAGCAGAGTTCCACGTGACATGTCAGGCCAGTGCTGCAGACTGTCCTTCCCCAGCAGATCTTTTATTGGCTGCTCATTCTTTGAAAGCGTGTGCATAAACCTCTTGCAAAGGCCATGCTGAGAAAGAGGACAGCTGGGGTTATTATTTGAAAAGCCGATAGTATTTTCTCTATAAGCCACAGATAAAATGTTTCACATTTCTATTTCAGGCTGTAAACCAGACCGGGCTGTTCTTGAGTGTAAGTTTACCTTCACAGGAAATCCATTGTTTGGGAAGCAAATGGAATCACCACACCCTGTAAGCACACAGATGAAGCTCTCAGATAAGTTCTTGTTCTCCATGAATACCTAGAAATTATCTGATAATGCTATTGTTAAATCGTAATATTGAAAATCTTACAAGAAATGATACATTTATTTACACAAACCTGATGGGGCTGGGAATTTGATCTGAGAGAGGAAGCAAATTAGCAAGTAGGGTTTTTAATGTCCAGTCCAATGCAAAAATAAATCATCAATCTGGAATAAATTACTGCAAATTAGCAAGAACCCAAATTTGAGGGCTAAGATCTTGAAACAAGAGATCTCAACCTATTGTACAAAAACACTGGCAACCTAGTAGCTTTATTTATTCCCCTCTGGATGTATAAGAAATTCTGGAAGAAACATTTTTTGCACAGTCAAGGATTCAAAAAAAAATTAGCACTTTCCCCTTCCCTCTTGTGGCAGAAATAGGAGCTGAGTAAAGATAGGAAATTTTCATGTAAAAATGTGTTGGTGATGAACAAGTGCATTTTCTCCCTAGACGGAAAGAAGTCCAGAAGAGAGAATTAGTACAGCTGTAAAGTACTATGAAAATAGTATAGACAGCAGCACTCTTTTGAATGCCTTGTATTCAGTTTTTATAAAATAAATCTCAGCAAGGAAACCTTGAAATATTGTAGCAATTAGCATTTTAGCAATACCACATTGACATAATTAGAAGTTTGTAATTACTACTCAGCTCTAGAAAGGATGCTTCCTCTAGTATTTCACAGTAGAAAAAGTGGTGAGTCTGTCTGTCTATAAGGATATCCTAGCTCCTCCAGGCATAAGAAATGCATGGAGATGATGTGAAACATGAGAGAGAGAGGACTTCCTTCTATTTATCTCCATGAACAGCCAGACCCGAAAATCAGTTTCAGATTAGGTCCCACTAAAAGAGCAGGCCATATCCAGCATATTCAGGAAGTTTGATAAGAAAATCTAGTTGCAAAACTCCATTTGGTTATATGGAAGCTCTGAGGGTGTGAAAAATATGATTTTTAAAGTCATATCCTCTCCCTTGCTCCTTATAGGAGTAGTCTGGCTAAATACAAATAGATTTTTAAAGGAAAAACTAAAGGCACTTTTTTTTACCAGCATAATCCTGACAAATTTGAAACTGCCACTCCAAAACTTAAGGCACTTGAGAAAAGAGGGACAGAGCTTTAAAAATGCTGGTCTAAACAGCTGACAGTTTATGAAATCAAGTATTTCTGCTGTCAGCAAGTGAAAAGAGAACTTAAGGTGGGAAGTGCTGGGCCAGGTGTTAGTGTCTACATTGCGGTTCATCCAGTTTGAAATGCAAGTTACATTGTTGGGTTTTAGCTGAAGTAGCTTTTACTGTGCATAGTTTTGGATAATCCAAATCACAAGTTTTGGATAATCTGTATTTTACTTACTCATCTGCAGGGACAAATGATAGTGTTTACACAGCTGTACTTCTTGAGGTTCAGTTTAAAGAAAGAATGCACACTTGGAAAAGATCCCTTTGCTTTTGCATTTACATTACTGCCTTCCCAATATAACGCAGGGATGGTCTCCATTCTGCTGAGATGTAAAGATTGCTGCTGTTAGTGAAGCTGTCCCTGCTTCATTCCCCCAGAAGAGATACCACTGTGCAGCTGTACTTTCCACGTAACCATAGGCATCTCTGATGTTTCGTGAACATCCACAATATGATTTCTTGATTACACAACCCACCCAGCACATTTTAATTGTGTTTGCCCTTTGCTCCTTTTGACCCTTAAGCCTTTGCTTGCAATAAAACCAGTAAATAGACAGAAACAAACTGCTATGCCACATCAAGTCCTGCTAGAAATCAAGGAATTGTAAATGTGGAAGTGTCAAGAAAGAATAAGTTTGCCCTGATTCATATAAACACTTTATTCAAATGCTTTGGGTACAGATAAACAGTCCTTGTGCAATGTTTGTTATGGTTTCACCTGCTTCAAGCTGGAAACTGAAAGTGTTTTGGTTAATGGGACAGAAAAGTTTCTTGAGCTGCTCTGCAGCTGCAAGTACTTCTGCATGTTATGCTGAAGCCCTATCTCACATCTTTTAACAGCAATGCATATCAGTAATCCAGATTTTTAAATTCTGTTTGGTTTTTTGTTTTTGTTTTTGTTTTTTGTCCACAGAGAAGGAACCATTGCTTTGTGCTGCAGTTTCAGTGGTGGGCTGTACCTGCTGGCACTTCCTGGAAAAGCAGAAATAAATACGGATTTTCTTGATATCCTTTATTGGATACAGACATGTCTTAGCAAAAATGTTTTATAACTTTTCTTACAATACTACTAACTTGGGGGGGTGGGGGGGATGGGGGGTGGTTCAAGTATTTGAAATTCTTTTCTATGTGAAGCAGAGACCTAAATAATATGAGACATGATTTCAAACCAGTGGAAAAAACAGGAAAAATTCAGAGAAATTCTACAACAGAAACATTTGATGGATCCTTTAAAATGTTCTTTAGAATTTAAGAAATTTGGTTTTATATTAAATGATTGGTAATAGTCTTATAACTTTTTTTTTAAGTTTTATGTAACATTAGCAGTTTCTGTAATGTCATTCCTATTGTGCCTTGAATTTCCTTAACCCATGTGACGTGTGTTCTGTAATTCTTATGTTACAGTTGCATTTCTGCAGTTTCCTGACTGGTGCAGAGTCTGGGCACTCATAGCATGCTGACTTCTACATGGAGGAAAAATTAACTGATTTAGAGTTTTGGTTTTTTTTCCCCCAACTCATCCTTCTCAGTATGTATAGTCTATTTAAGAGGGACAAAGGCATAATACCCTTCCACTTCAGCTGCATTTTTTTCAAATGCAATTTCTACATTTGTTTCTTGAGTATACTGGTTCTTGAGCTGTTCCTACCCATGTCTTCTTCCTACTTCATATGATAAAACAAAGCTTGGATAAATTATACTAGAAACTTTATTATCATTTATAGTAAGCAAAGAAACAATACCTGTAACTCTCTTGTTCTGATTTTAGTTTTAATGATCCTTGAGTATTAACATTTTACAGTGGTCTGCAACAGGTAATACAGAATAGTTGGTATGAAATAAAGCTACTTTGCAGTGCCAAGCAGCATAAGGGAGGATTCAGATAAGTGTGTGGTTTAATTCTGGTTCCACCTGGAGAATTGGATGTCTTTATGAGTGAAATATTTCCAAGGTGCAGTTATACTGCAATAAATAAAAAACAAAACTTAAGGTAATCAAAGACCCGAACTGATGCTTAATTAAAAAAAAAAACTAAACAACTCAATTTGAGAAGTACTTTTTAACATCCCTTCCAGTTCTTCCTTTCAAGTTTACTACTATGATAGCTAAAACCTGAATTTGCTTCTAATCATTTAATATAAGGGGATAAGGATTTAATGTATTTCTTGGAGGAGGTGTTGACACCCATTAAGACTACTTTATGGCTCTGAGGTTCAGAGATAGTGAAGAATAAGAGACAACTTGTTAACATTGCACAGCAGAAGAAAAAATTCACAAAAATAGAGTTTTGTTTTGAGGGAGGTTTAAATGTGGGCATCAGTATGTGTTCATGTATTTGGAGGAAAAAGCCAAAATACCTTTATATTCCATTTTAACTCAAGTTGCTACTCAGAGGAACTTCTGAGACAAGTGGCAGAATGTCTCATCAAAGTGAAACTAGAGCTGCCCTGCTGAGATTCCACCTGCTATGTAAAAGTGCTACCACCTTCTTGCCAAGTGGAAAGAATTAGCTGACTCCAGCAGATTTTGGGTCTGTATCAGGTAAAAGTGATTCATTGGATTGTGAGATTGAGCACTAGAAACTGTACACTCCACAACTAGAATTAGAACCCTCCACATTAAAATTGTTTAAGAAAATTAATTTCCTAACTTTGATAGTTAGGAAAAAGTTTGCCATATTCTAGTGTAAATTTCCCTTCTCAAGCGTTTCAGAGCACCAACAAACTAAAGTTCTGCTCTTGGGATGAAGAAGTCATTGGAGTCACAATAAGCATTGTACATCTAAAAATGAGCTTTTTGTGGTGAAAATAAAATTAGCTGCTGGCCTTTCAGAATAATTTGGAAAATGTACTTCAAATGGTATGTACCTGCTGCATTTAGCATTTGTAAAAATGCTGTAACAGCACTCCCCTCACTAGCTTTTCACCTCTCTCCCAAGTAATCTAATTTTCTTTCTCCCATTATGACATGCCTTAGCACAGCTCAGGTCACAGATTCCTCAAAATAAAAATGAGGCTCATAGCAGTAGGTGCTATAACATGGTTAGAACCACAAGATAAATAAAAATAACTAACTGTACAAGTTATGTGCAGATTGATCACATTTTACCCACTGGTATCTCCAGTGGACACTGCGTATAGTATAATTTGTGTCATTTTCTTTAAGATCACATGCCTGTAGCACAGAATATCATGGGCCTGAAAGCAAGTAAACCAGCAGTAGTTTCCTCGTTGCATTAAACAATCACTTGAAATGAGTTTAATTTCACTCACAGAAAGTACAATGGAAATCACCACGAGTGTGTCAATGAAAAAGCCCATCTATTTTGGCCTGATTTTTGCTCAGCTTACAAACATTGTATCTAAGAACTGTTTGCATTGAAAGTACCCTAATATTTTGTGGGTTAGTAATCAGATTTATGTCTATAAAATAGTATTTTCCTACCAGACAGGAAAGACCCATCAGAAGATCTCCAACTTTTCAGAAGTCTCCTGAACAATTTTACTGTCTTTTAGAATCCTTTTTTAGGTGACACCCTCCAGGCAAAGCCAACAAACAGTTAAATGTATAATTTGGAAAGCCTTGCCTTGATTTCTGGATCATCTTAATGCAGTTTTGAGCAATAAGCAGGGACATCTTCAACCAGATGAGGTTGCTCAAGGACCTGTTCAGCCTGAGGTTGAATATTTCCAGGCATGGGGGCCTCCTTCCCTTTCCTGCACTGCACACACTTTTGGCCCTTTTGCATGTACCTAGACTTCTAAAATGTTTTTGATTTATGGAACTGGGTTTTGGAATACAAATCCTTGACTAAATTAGTAGGCAATATAATTGTTAGTAGGTATAACAACTGACACAGTCACAGGAGCTAGCAACTGCACTCAGCGCTTGACAACCATCAGCAACCTGCTTATGATCTCAATTTCTCAACTAATCTCTGTTATTGTCAGTTAGGAATCAAAACCTTAGAGAAAAAAAAGATATATTATTTCTGCATTTCCAGATTGCTCTGGAAGGTTGCTATGGGCACAGAATATTGTAACTCTTCTTTCCATCCCCCAGACAATGCTTGTGGTGGTTGTGCCCCAAACTTCATGTTAGTAGCTGATCCAGAATGTACAAAGTCAGAAAAACCAACAGAAGCTGGCATTATGTCTCACAACTTACAAGCACATTTGTGAATGTTTACTACTTTTGGGGAAAACAAAACAACCCAAAAACCAACAAGAGGACTTGTGAAATAAACGAGAGAAGGCAAGTGTGAAGGAATACAGGATGGAACACCAATATGCAGGACAGCTGTTCTGAGTCTGGGAAGGGGCGCAAGAAGGATGTGATAGTTACAAAATATCCATCCTTACCAGCCCTGGCTTTTGCCGAAATCAGAGTATCCTCGAACATACTCCTACTCCAATTTCTACTCCACATGCTACCTTCCCATCTCTACCATTTCGTCTCCCAAGCACACTGAAACATTACCAGTGCACATTACAAACTTTTAAAATGTATGTAGCTTTCCCACAGGAATGTTCAGGAAACTACAGCTACAGCGTTAAACGCCCTGAAATTCCGCATCCATCCGAGCTCACCCGTTCACGTGCGCTTTTGGGAAGGGTTTTGTTAAGCCACAAAGGCGGAACAGTCAAGGGTGCTTGGACAAGAGCGGGCCTCTCCCCAGTCCTGCTGTCACCCAGCAGACACAGAGCGCTCCTTTTTGTCTCATAACAGAAAATTTCGTGAGATTTCTGTCTTTTGGAGGGATCTTTGCATCAAAACCACTTCTGCTGTCGGCGGGCAGGATGCGCTGGCGCTGCGGGCGGGACCAGCCTGTTGCGGGCAGCAGCGCTGCCGGGGGCTGCGGCCGGCCCTG